AACTTATTGTTTCCAAAATTATTATTTTGTTGAGAATTGGGTCTACCTGTGAAGCGCGTGTTAGTACTCATAGGCATTGGTTTTGGGAATGATCTATTAGGATTTGGTTTGAATACATTGACATTTCCCATAGAAGGCTGTCGAAAAACTTGTGCATTGTTGAAAAACTTTTGTGGTGGCATATTTTGCCTTGGCTGGACTGGTACCGGTCCAGTAGGGAACTGATTGTTAGAATTGTTAAAATTTTGATTTGGAACGAAATTGCTAAAGTTATTATTATTATTAAAATTTCTATTAAAATTGTTATTAGAATTAAAATTTCTGTTTAAATTTTGTTGGCCAGGTCTATTTTGTGAATTGTTTGACCTTTGGAAATTTTTAGTAGTTACGTTTTGAAAATACTGGGTATTTTCTTCTTCAACAACAAATTGTAGGGCCTCTGTTAAGGTACCTGGTCTCATGCAACGTATTGTGGTGCCTAATGGCTCTTTGAGTCCACACAGAAAAGTTTTTAAGGCTAAATCATTATATAAGTTTTTCTTCAAGATTTTCGAAGCCTGAGTCTCACCGTGAATGTCTACATAGTTACAGAGCAAATTTAAAATGTTTAAAATTCTGTCGTAGAAATCTTGAACTTTTTCATTAGGAAATTGTCTCATAACAACTAGGTCTCTATTTAAGCACGTTTCGTCGCGTTGATCAGCAAAATTTCGTCTTAAAACACCTTTTAGATCATCCCAAGTCTGCGCATTTTGAATATTTGCCACAGTTCTAGCATTTCCCGTTAATTTACTTACAATTTATTGAAGCAGATACACATTATGAAAACTAAGTGGATTATCTCTATCATAAAAAGTATTAACAAGGCTTTCACAGACGCCTAAAAATCTATTTAAATCATTTGGGTTGCCATCAAATGACGGGACACAGTTTAAATATTCAGGTTTAAAGTTTGCGGCCATACTATTACTTAAATTACTACTTTGTTGATTTAAATTTTCTAATTGATTAATATTGTTACTATTATCTAAATTTTCTACTGTATTTTCGGAATTTTCAGGGTCAGCAATAGGCAATTCTATACTTAAGCTTTCAATTGATTTAATTAGTTCCTCAACTAAGTCAGTCATAAATAAAATACACTTACAGAACGAAAATGACTTTTAGCATCTCACCCAGTGAAGCGATGAAGTCTTCACTAGAGTTTTCTGAAGAAAATTTTGACAATTTTTGTTCCAAATTTCGGTGCCTCGTTGATTGGTCTGAGCTGGTTCCTCGATGGACAGTCGGTTTTCTGAAGTTGAAGAAGCCGCCAACACAATACCCTTACGAACGACACACCCGTTGTTAAGTTCGATATCCAGTTAATCGTTTAACGAAAAATTCACGTTCGATACGTAAACTCCCGGATATCCTACTGACTGCGCCAATTAACTACTTAAGAAGCCGAAATCCGTTTTTAAAAACAAATTTTATTAATTATTTAATTTACAAAAATATTTTATGTGCAATATATGACTTAACTATATAAATGGTTAATAATGAATAACGCCGGGTTCCATGCACTTCGCCCAGGGACCTCCGGCTAAGCAAACTGCAAGGATGGCAGTTTGCGCTGAAATTCCTGCAAGGTCATCAGAAGGGCTGATATGACTCACGTTTTAAAAACCCGTCATCACTATCAATATAAGTTATAACTAGACGTCGTCCTTTACCGGTAGAAACCTTCAATCCTGTAGATGATCCTTCCAAAAAAGCCTGTCGTGAAGATTGAGCGTTTGTATCCTGCCACATTTTGCTAACTGTGTAACCTTCATTCACCCAGGATTCGTCCAAATAAAATATTTATTTGCCTTCTGCACGTAATTTAAAAATGTTTCTTAGGTATGTCTGTCTCCAACAAACAAATTCATCAGAATCAATGTGTTTCCTTTCCTGTTTATCCCCCTTGAACTTCAAATCTATTAGAGTTTCCCGTAGTTTTGTCTTAGCCATTTTAGGAAAATACGGATCACTATTGATTGCGTCCAAAACCTTTTTTAAAATAAAATTCGTCAACTTTTCTTCTTATTCAGCTATTAATTTATTCAGTAAATTCCACTTTTTTCTTACCTCCTGCATTTATCTTTGCTGGTTTAACAACTCCACTTTTTAATTCACTTATACCTTTATACAGGGTGTCTGTAAAAGGTCTTTACAAAAACATACCACATATTCCTTAGACCAAAATAAGTCGATTTAAGTAAAATTACCTTAGTACAAAGTTGCTTCGTTTGGGCTCCAGAGGGCCTTGAAGTTACAATTTTTAAATCGTTTTTCCCATATAAATTTAAAACGGCATATGCGATTTTGCTGAAATTTGGTATATTGGTAGAGTTTTATGTGGCAAAAAAATGGTATTAAAATTTTGTCCGATAATAATATATAGGCGTAGAACTTGATTTTTTAAATAATTGCTCCTTTAAAAATTCTACGCCAATGGAAGAAAAGGAGTTTGAGTATAAAATTTAGATTGCTCAACTCATTTACTTTAAAAAAGGTACTCTTGATAAGACTCGATTACTCTCATGGTTTTCGCTAAATTTCTGTTTTAATAATTTAGAGTGTATAGGTTTCACAAAAATATTTATTTACAAAATAATCAAAATAGAGATTTTATAAAAATTGTTCAAAATGATCACCATTTTCACGCATACAAAGATTTTTACGTCGAAGAAAATTAAAATATATCCTTTCCATAACATCTTCATTACCTGTAAAATTGTTTATTGCATCTTGAATACGTTGCCAGAGTTGTTCCTCATTTTCTAGAGGTTCCCTGTAAACTGTGGATTTCAGATGTCCCCATTAAAAGTAATCCATCGGTGTTAGGTCTGGAGAACGTGGTGGCTAGTTTACAGGTGCGTTATTACCTCTGCCTATCCATTTGTGTGGATATTGTTCATTCAAGTGGTTTCTAACGTTTAAAGAAAAATGTGGTGGAGCTCCATCTTGCATAAACCACATATCTCTCCGAAGTTGGAGAGGTAAATCTTCTAACAATTCTGGCAACGTATTTTGTAGAAAATCCAAATAATTTTCTCCAGTTAATCTTCGTGGAAGTATGACAGGACCAACAATGAAATTACCAATTATTCCAGCCCACACATTAATTTTGAATTCGTGCTGAAAATGGTTTACCTTTATTGCATGCGGATTTTCAACGGCATAAACATGTTCATTATGGGTATTAGTTATACCTCTTCTTGGAAAACCCGCTTCATCGGTAAAGAGAACCTTCTTGACAAAGTTTGGATCTCTTTCTCTTTGCATATTAACAAATCGACAAAAACTCAAACGAATTTGAGGATCATGGACTAATAATTCTTGTACTGGCTTCTTATGGTATGGATATAGCAATTGTTCTCTAAGCACTTTATGAACGACATCTTTACTTACTTCTAGTTCCCTTCCAATTTGTCTGGTGCTTAATTCTGGATCTTCTTCAACACGTTCTAAAATGTCTTCTTCAACTTCAGGAATCCTTACAAAACGTTCTCTTCCATTATCAACAGTGTTGGGAGCAAAGGAACCGGTCTCCCGAAGACGTCTCTCCACAGCAGCAAAAGTTGGATGGCTAGGTACACGACGATTTAGAAACCTTTCAGAGTACACCCTGACACTCTCTCGAGCATTTTCTTCACAAAATCCTAATGTCAGTAACATATCGGTATATTCTGCATTGGTATATTGTACAGCCATATTAATAAACCACGCATTTGTTTTTTAATTATTGAGTTAACAAGAGATTAGGTGTTAAAACTTGACAATATTTTTATTTAGATGAAACTATGGAAACCAACAATAAATGTTTTTGTATACGTATTGCAGGCAAATAATTAATATTCCTCAAAAAATCGTACATGGCAAGAATCGAGTATTTTTGTTAAAAGTCTCGATTAGAGGTGTTGAAGAAGATATGAAAAAAGTACATTTTTATGTTTTTCATCGTATAAAATTTTGTCCGATAATAATACATAGGCGTAGAACTTGATTTTTTAAATAAGTGCACCTTTAAAAATTCTACGCCAATAGCAAAAAAGGGGTTTGAGTATGAAATTTGGATTGGATACTCATTTACTACAAAAAGGTACCCTTGATAACACTCGATTTACTCTCATGGTTTTGACAAAGTTTGTATTTTAATAATTATTGTTTATGTTCTAAAATTACTAAAATGCAAATTTCGTCAAAACCATGAGAGTAATCGAGTCTTATCAAGAGTACCTTTTTTAAAGTAAATGAGTTGCGCAATCTAAATTTCATACTCAAACTCCTTTTATTTCATTGACGTAGAATTTTTAAAGGTGCAATTATTTAAAAAATGAAGTTCTACGCCTATATATTATTATCGGACAAAATTTTAATACCATTTTTTTGCCACATAAAACTCTACCAATTTACCAAATTTCAGCAAAATCGCATATGCCGTTTTAAATTTATATGGGAAAAACGATTTAAAAATTGTAACTTCAAGGCCCTCTGGAGCCCAAACGAAGCAACTTTGTACTAAGGTAATTTTACTTAAATCGACTTATTTTGCTCTAAGGAATATGTGGTATGCTTTTGTAAAGACCTTTTACACCCACCCCTCATATTACCTGTCTTTTCAACAGTATCGTCAAAAGAAAACGAAGGTTTTTCATTCTTAGGCAATTATAAACATTGCTTACAAATATTTTCTCGATAACTGACAACGCACATTTTTTTATACGTTTTACAGGTGTTTAATGTTTAATTATAATATAAATACTAATGAAAAGGTAGTAGAAGTAGACTTTAACTGAAAAGTTCCCGTACGAAAGAAACGCCTATGTGGCATTGTGCACAAACTGCGTCTCTGTGCGATTTAGTCATCTTATCTGTCCACTCTTGTTGTACAAATTACTAGGTAATTTAAAAATATTTTTGGGTCTTAAAAGCAAAAAACACGAGATTTTACTAATTTTTTTTTTTTTTAGGTATGAAGTTTTGTGGTGGAATCAGTGGTAATAGTTTAACGTTCCCGTACAATGGAAAATACTACATACATGGGATAATATCTATTGGTAAAAAAGATAGTACCCAAGGATTATGTAATATACTAGCAAAGAGTACGCTGTATACAAAAGTGTCTGCACACTATGACTGGTTGGAGCGTGTAATATCTCAATATCAATAATTTTTTATATAATTAGAATTAAATAAAAATAAAATATTTTCTCGTTTTCTAAAAAAGTATTTTATCTTTTTATACCTCATTAACAACAATAATCTGAGAGGATGCGTTGTGATCAGATAAAACAGTCAGATGAATCCACAAAAACTACACATAAGATGTCTTGTTCTTTGGAAATTAGTTTATAGTACAAAAAGGATGCGCTGAAGAAAACGCAACCACTTCCAGCAGCCAGATGTGCCGTATACCCACCAAGCTTCAATAAGAAAAGAAATATCAAAAGACCAGTCGACCTAAAATTTTTTCTCGGAAACGTTGTTAATAATAATAATAATAATAATAATAATAGTTTATTATTTATCATATAAAACAAATGTGGAATACAAAATTTTATAACAATTAATGATGATAAATAAAAGGTTATAGTTAGGTCTGCAGACCAATTCTTCCACTATAACCTACAAATTCAAAATTAAATATAATTATATTCATATACCCATGTCCTAATGTAATTAAAGAGGAAGAGAAAAAATAAATATAATAAATAAATAAATAAAAGTGACAAATACTAGACATTAAGTACCTACCTAGTGCATTATATTTATATACAAGTGAAAGGGTAATTATATTGCAAAGATTTTTTAATATAAAAAAAAAATTATATTTTAAAAATATTTGCAGAAAATTATAATAACAATCAATAAAGAACAAAAAATAAAAACGTATAACATTTTCGCCAGAAAGGGATACAGCAAAAGTTAAACCAGTAAGATGAACATTTTTTAGTGTTGTTTATTAAATAATCTTTTTTTATGTTTCTTTTTAAATGATTTAATAGAAAGGGCAACATCAGTTTCACCAAATAGGTGGCCGAAGTGAGATATTTGATACGAGAACGATCTTTTGTACATTTCCTTATAGTGTTTAGGTATATTAAGTGTATTTTTAGTTCTAAGTTGAAGATTGTGTTCTATAGGTGATTTTCTCATAAAGATATGATGGGGTTTTAAATTTTAAAATTTTATGAAATAGACAGAGTGAGTGCAGAATCTTTCGATTATACATGCTTAACCATCCTATTTCCTTTAATTTGTAAGATATAGAATGCGGCCTCTTGATACCGAAGATCATACGCATACAGGAATTTTGTACTTTTTGTATTCGACCCAAATCATTGCTGTCAATGCATGGTGAGAAGACTACATCCGCATGGTTAAAGTGCGAAAGAACTAGAGAGTCACATAGTGATATTTTAATAGAATAAGGTAAACTATGTCTATGTTGATATATCATTTTTAGGGAAGAGTATGCTCTTTTTATTTTCTCACTTACATGTTTTTTAAACCTCAATTTGGAATCGAAAACTACACCTAAATTTTTGCAGTTGTCACTAAATTGTAACGTATTTTCATCTAATTTAATTTTGAAATGAATTATAGCTTTCGCTTTCTGTTGCTCATTGCCAAAGACTATTGCGCATGATTTTTTTCCATTGATAGTAAGGAGATGATCATTAGAATATGTAACAACTGATTTTAAATCTTGATTAATTTGATTTTGCGCTTCTAACATATTTTCTATTTTAAAATGATGATATATTTGCGTGTCATCAGCATACATGTGATATTTACAAAATTTTAATGCTGAAGGAAAATTTGACGTGTATAAAGAAAATAAAAGAGGTCCTAAAATGCTTCTTTGTGGTACTCCTTGCATAATATTTATAGAATTAGAAATATTGTTGTTCAACTTAACACACTGACTACGATTGGTTAAATAAGAGCAAAGAAGAGAACGTGCTGATTCACTAAAACCAAGGTAATGCATAACTGTCATCAGAATTTGATGGTTTAGCATGTCAAACGCCCTGGAATAATCTATTAGAACCAAAACAGTCATTTCATTTTTGTCAAGACCTGACAGTATGTCATCTGATATTGTCGCCAGTGCAGTCGCACAGCTATAGCCTTGACGAAAGCCAGACTGGAACTTGGGTAACAAATTGTTCCTAGACACATGATATCTAATTTGTAGTTCCATAGTCTTTTCAAATAATTTGGATAATACTGGTAGAATACTTATACCTCTTAAATGACTCAGTTCCGTAGGACGTGATATTTTTGGTATGGGCAATACAAAGGCTTTTTTCCAGCTTACCGGAAAATACCTTTTAGTTATGCATTCATTAATTATATGCCTGATATAAGGTATTATGAATGGACAGCACAGAAGAATTATATGAATGTTTAAACCATCAGATCCAAATGCCTTGGATTTAATATTTTTTAGAATCTTAAATATGTCTGATTCAGATATGGTATTAAAGGTAAGTAAGGAATTCACGGTGCTTTTTACTTTGTCGTTATAAAACTCAACAACTTTTTGATCTGGATTTAGATTACTCGATGGACCGACTAAAAAAGAGTTAATTTCATTTACGTTTCTTAATACTACTGGTAGTTCTTTATTACATTTGTTTCCAATGTCAATATTTTTTAAAACTAACCATTTTTGTTTAGTTGTAGAATTAGTTCTTTATAGTAATTCCAATGTGCTATTACTTTTGTTTTTCTATATTTTTGTAATGCTTTATCCCTTAACTTTTGCATTAGTTTAATATTATAAGTGATCCATAGAGGGTTTTTATTTTTTGCTGTATTGATGGTAGTTCTTTTTGTAGGTGCATGTTTGTTAAGGGTATTTAAAATATTGCTATTGAATAAATTTAATTTCTGATCAATATTAGTTATGTTATAAATCAAATTCCAATTTAGTGACTCTAAATCCTGTTCAAATTGATTAATATTAATAGCGTTCAGATTTCTATAAGTTATTGTTTTAATTATTTCTTCTTTAGTTGATACTTCAAAACTGCCATATACCAAAAAATGTTTAACCAAATTGGTATCAGTTACTCCCGAGTCATTTAAGTCAATATTGCTGTAGATATGATCAATTAAAGACATTGAGTTGTTATTTATATGTGTAGGTTCAGAAATATGTTGCTTTAAACTAAATGATTCCGTGACTGCTAAAAGATTAACGCACGTGTTTGACTGTATATCCAAAAGATCTATATTAAAGTCGCCTGTACAAATTATTTTGTCACACCCAGTATATATATCAACAAGTGTATTTTCAAATTTGTTTAGAAATAAAGAATAGTTAGATTTAGGAGGTCTGTAGATTACACCAATAGCATACCTCACCTTATTTATATTTACCTCTATCCAAAGTTGTTCAACATAATCCATACTTTCGCTTATCAGAACTTTGAATCTTAAATTGTTTTTAATATATAAAAGAATGCCTCCACCCCGCTTATGAAGTCTATCGCATCTGACTAGATTATATCCATTAATTTGTAGTAAATTGTCATCAACTTCTGGTTTTAACCACGATTCAGATATGGCGAAAATGTTATATGATTTAGCTAAAATAGATTGTTTTACTGAATTTAATTTTGATGTTAAAGAACCTACGTTTAGATGTCCTATAAAAATATACATTTTTAATTAGCTATTAATTAAAAATTAGGGGTAAATTCATTTATTTTACAGTGTAAATTAAATCTAATCTAATCTAATAAATAGTACAGAAAATTAATTTCTTTAATCAAAATTTTCAGAAGTATAAATTATAATCTTCGCATTAATTGTTTTTTGTACTTCTTAGGTTTTTTGGACTATAGCGATAGCACTTGCTTCTGTTTATTTTCGGCTTGGGCTGGGTTCTTTCCACCACGGTAGACTTCTGACTATTCTGCTTCATAAATTGATCTTCAGTATCTACCTCGTTATCTTCGCTATCAGAACTTAGAGTTTCGGACGTACTTTTAAGATTCTTTAGTTGTTCAGTTGAAAATGCAGTGTCATTAACATATAGAGTAAATCCTTTAATACTGGCATTAAAATTTTGTGATCTCGCTGCTTTTAAATGGGTTCTCAAAATTTTTTGTTCCTCCCTGTCTTCCTTGCTAAGGTCGTTAGCTATTGAAAAACCTTTATCTCTGAATTGTTTTAACTTTTCTTTATCATGAAAAAGTGTTAATTTCGTAAGAAATGATGCAAATTCTAATAAAATTGGTGATTTTGGCACTTTACCCAATTTGTAACAATTATTTAGGTCCCGTTCTTCAATTTTAACTCCTAGATTGTCATTAAGAAGGCTTATAACTTTTTGTAACAGATTATCTTCGGAATTTATGTTTACACCAAAAACTACAACGTTATTCTTTTTTAATTTACGTTCAGTTTCTAGGCACCGCTTTTTAAGTTTATCTACTTCTTTATTCACAATTTCAATATTTGACTTGAGCGATGTTACACATTTTTGGATTTCTGTTCTAATGGAATCTGTTTGTTGTTAGCTTTAGTACTAAAAGGTAAGTGTTTTATCCATCAAAGTTATTATTCAAACATTGACTATGAATAAGTAGGTAATTTAAATAACTTTTAAACAGTTATTGCTAGCAATAAGGTTTTTTTTAAGTATAGGCACCTAAAGGTAGTTTTTTTGCTAAAGACTTTTTCAAACTGAATAATTATTTATATTTTAATATTTTCTTTAATTTCATTTAAAGTTGTTGATCACTGTAATCCTGTGAAATCATTTAAGAGTATAATGTCACCTATTACTACTAGTAGAGAAGCTAACAATCGTTTATTTTCACCCTCGAAGTTTCCTTTTAATTGAGGAAGTCCAGTTGGTATTGCAGTTCACGTATATAGGTACCTTAAATCGAATGAAATCATAAACAAAATTAAATTTGTAAATGTTTTTAATATTATAATAAACAAATTATTTCAAAATATCTAATATGCTCAAAGATTCTTGAATAATATCTCATTGAAGGCTTGGTTGATTTTCCTCTCTAGTTCAAACCTTTAAAGCCAGTCCCCTGGCTTCGGTTTCCCTATTATCACGATTGGACCCTCCTCTTCGCTTCCTTTTCTTCGTCTGTCTCTCTTTTGCCTCTTCGATTCTTGATTTATTTCTATAACTCCATATCCTCCTTGTCCACCGCGCGCTACTCCATTTTGGTCATAAACTGAGCTTCCTTCTTCTCCAGGACCTATTACTGTCCTTTGCCCGCCAGATTTATCTACAAT